GGAAAGAGCCTGAGCATCTCCCTTGCATGCAGCATCTCCACTCCTTACTTGCTCCCCACTGTCCCTCCAGACCCCAGCAGCACCTGCCCCAGGAGTCTGTGTCTTTCTCACCCTGGCTTTTCCTCGCTGCATCCAGCAAAAGGACAGTGCCCCGCACTGGGGAGCTTCCTACCCAGCTGAGCTCTAGTAATATGCTGAAGTTTTGAGGATGGCCTCATTCGGCACGGCCAAGAAACACAACAGTGCTGGTTGATCTCTGCCTTCTCCAGGGCCAACTTACCCTCTGATGTACGTGGGACAAGGTCTGCCGGGAGTCAAGTCAAACCCACCCACCTTTTTCCCCACTGGTTTCTCTCCTTGCAGAGCCAGATAATCCGTTTCCACGGATATCCCAGCGAGGAGCACCAAGTCCTGACGGATGATGGCTACTTCCTGACGGTGAACCGGATTCCTGGTGGCAGAGAGGAGGCTGGAAGCAGAGGTGGGAACTCATCACTCCGAGGTGACGCTTGGCAGGTCCTCTTCTCCTGAGCAGGGAAGGCAAAACGAGGATCATCTAGGCAAAACGAGGATTGCCTTTTCAGAAAGAGGGATGTGACGGGAGCCTGCACTGCGAGGAGCAGGGACAGGAAGAGATGTGGGTCTTCCTGGGAGGCAATTGCGCTTTTCACTGGGCGCTGGTGGGGAGGGAGCACCCTTGAGCTGGGCCTGGGGATGCAGGAGATCCGCACCGTGTTTTGCTGTGTCCGGGACGGGGCAGCATGACCCAGTGAGCCCCAGCACCTGGAGAAGGAGGGCCATGGTGGCTCCTTCCCTGGAGCAATCCACCTGCCCTCGGTCAAGGTTTCCTGACAGCTCAGGGCCAGGGGTGGCAAAAACATTTCAAACGGCAGGAGAAAAAGCACCAGCGGAGAGAAGAAACTGCAGGGGAAGCTACTTTCTCCCCTGCAGAAGACTTTTGATTTGTGATATGAAAATATCACACTCCCGTGGGCTGGAGATGAAGGCAGCTCCTTTCCCATTCCCAGGTACTCCCGTCAAACAACTTTTTTTCTTTCCTGTCATTTCCAGGATCCAGGTTACCTGTGTTGCTCCAGCATGGCTTGGTTTTAGATGGTAGCAATTGGGTTGCCAATTTCCCCAACAACAGCCTGGGCTTCATCCTCGCAGACGCAGGGTACGACGTCTGGATCGCAAACAGCCGGGGCAACAGCTGGTCCCGCCGGCACCTGAACCTTTCTGTCGACCAAGAGGAGTTTTGGGATTTCAGGTGAGGAGGCCCCCAAGGATGGGGCTGGGATGCTGGGCTGCCAGCGCCAAACACCTGATGTCCATGGGAGGTTGGGAGATGGGCATCTCCTCCAGCTTCTCCCCTTGCTCCCCAGCTTCCATGAGATGGCCATGTACGACCTCCCTGCCATGGTGGGCTTCATCCTAAGGCAAACCGGGCAGGAGAAACTGTTCTACGTCGGCCACGCTCAGGGCAACTCTCTGGGTGAGTGAGGAGGAGGAGCGGGCAGTGGGCGGAAGCGGGGTGACGGGATGCCATGGGAGAGGGGCATCAATGTCTGTCCCAAACTGGAGACTGCTGGGGACGGGGCTGCGTTGGCCCATGCGGCCACTTTTCCTAGCTGACTTCTTGGTCCTTCGGAATGGGAGAGGATTGCCACGTCTCGCCCAGCCCTCCTGGGCTGTGCTCACATCCAGGAGCCTTTCATTTTGGTCAGACCCTGCGTCTCAGACGGGATCTGGGATGCGAGGAGGGGATTCAGGTGCTTGGGTCCATGTGGCAGTTGCTTGTAGGACCTCTGTGGTCTCCTGTGGGGTTTTTTTTTCAGGTTTCATAGCGTTTTCGAGCATGCCACAGCTGGCTGAGAAAATCAAAATGTTCTTTGTGGTGGGTCCTCTCTACACTTTTTGTACGAGTAAAGGTCCGGTAGCAAGTATTTTATATCTCCCTGATGTAATGATTAAGGTAAGCGTTGTGTTCTGGTTTTCTTGTCCTAATTAGTTACACAGTTAGTAATTGATAGGCGAAATCAGGAAGCAGAGTTGCTTGTGCCACGGGGGCAAACCTCCCCCGGAGCTCCCACCCCTCAGCTGGGTCAGTGCCGCTGGGATGGACGGGGAGATGGGGAGGCGTCCGGTGAGGGGGGGTTAATGTGCCCAGATCTCCCCCCTGCAGGGGACAGGAGAAGCCACCGATCCTCCTGAGATGCCGGGCTGGCTACCCCAGCGGCGTCAGCACCAGGCAGGGACCGACCAGCCGTGTCCGTGCCCCGTGGCAGGTGATTTTCGGGAGGAAAGAAGCAGCTCTGCTGGCACGGGAGCCGAGAGCGGCGGTGGCCAGGGCGTGCAACTGCTGGCTGCTCAACAGGCTCTGCACAGACGGGCTTTTCCTCGTTGGAGGATTTAACCGGAAGAACTTGAACATGGTAGGCACTTTTCTGTGTGAGTGATTTTGGCTGACCAAATAAGCAATGTCATAATGTCACCGTGGGTGCCACATCTCATTAGGGGCTGGGTTACTTAGCAATGATACTGTCATGGGGCAGGGGCACTGAGGATGAAAATGATGAGGCAAGAGATTTAAAATGGTGGGTTCTTTGGGTCCCCGTTGTCTCTGTTGGTAGCTCAAACAAATGATGAGAAAGAAATCCAATCTGCAAGCTTGTGCAAACTAATTCTGAAGAGTTATCTCGCTCTCGGGTCGTGCTATTGAAAACGAAAGGCTCATTTTGAGATGCTGTTGAGTCCAGCGTGGTCTTTTAGCTTTGTACAACCCGCCTGGACACACAGCGCAGGTCTGTATAGGCATGAGAGCACGCTGAGTTGTTCACTTGCGTTGTCTTGAAGTGGACGTTAGTGGAAGGGCAGGCGAGATAGCAACACCAAAGCTCTGATGTGGCAAGGTCCTGGTATTGCTGTTGACGACAGCTTGACCTAAAGACGAAAGTGGGATTTCTGCTGCCAATCGCACTGAGGTGCCCTAAGGCACTAGTGTCTGTGACTGAGAAGTCGGGAGGCTGGGTGGGCCCTCCAGGCACAGAGGTCATGTTGAAGCTGTTCCTCAGTGGTTTCCCCAGGGGAAGGTTCGCTGCATCCTGCTTTGGGGCAGCTTAGGCAAAGCACACGAAGAGCAGACTGGATGACAGCCAAGCGCTGTCGACTTTAGCCTCAAACAAACGTGAACTCCTGCCTGAGTATCGTTTGCAACAGGACTTTCTTTTGCTGGCAGAGCCGAACAGACGTGTACTTATCGCATTTCCCGGACTACACATCCACTAAAAACTTCCTCCACTGGGGCCAGGTAGGGATTCTCCTGTTCGTCGCACCTGGTAACCCAGTGGTCGTTCCTGGGCTGGCTGGGTTGATGCTCTGCCACATTGCTCCATTCACCGTGTGGACAGACATAGTGGCAGGACTGGTGAAGCATCCCCTCTCCCTGTGTGTCCTTGGAGGCCACACGGGTCCCTGCCATCAGCCTCCCCATGGGTGGGCTTGCTCAACCTCCGCCTGTTGTAAACAACCCACCCTTGAAAGGGACCCCCTGAGCACCAAAACCCCAGGCCTGGGGGACGTACGAGCCACCCTGGTTCCCTGGTGCCACCCCTGCCCTGCCAAGGCAGCTCCCAGCTCTGTAAACACCTACGTGTCACCCCCAGTGACGGCCTAAGGACGTGGTCATGGCAAAAGCTGAGACCCCTGCTGCAAGAGCACATGACAGTCCATTGCCAATCACAAAGTGAGCCTAGAGGGATGGAAAAAGCCAGTCTCTTCAGCTGAATTTGTCCAACATCCATACGCTTCTTCCTCCAAGATGAAGATATTTTAGCATAAACAGCTGGGGAAAGTGCAAGCCAGCAAGACTCTAATTTGGAAATACAGGTGGCTAACAAGGGGGGAAACCAGGAGGGCGGTCCTGGACTGACAAAAATTGCACCAGGTCCACAAGAATAAATCCTCGTTGGATTGTCCCTTCCTTCAGAGAGTAAGATCATTAAGTTAATTGTAATTCAAGCATAGTCTGAGTAGTCGTGGTGGGTATCTTGAGACTAGGAGAGTGGATGCACCTTGCCTTCCTTGCTGGCTACGAAGAGTTCAGCCATGGTTCATCACCTCCTTGGCTGGCAGACACGGTCACGCTGCCTCAGGGACGCCTGAAAAGCTGCACAGCGCTGGCAGCTCTCGGAAGACCTAACATTTGTTCTCCAAACATTGCCCAAGAGAAACTCCCCACCCAACCAGGTGACTTGCACTCGGTCAGTCCATTGTAAACAGTTGAGGTTGTCCACCGAGCACTGCAGGACAGTGGATGAGTCCTTCTCCCTGCCGCCGTGGCAGAAACCAGATATGCTCAAAGACAGCCCGAGTGACCACACCCTCCATCTGCTTTGCCCAAACCCCCCGCTGGGCCAGCTGCCCCACTGCTTTGCCGCCCTGCTGTGGGTCCCAAGGGATGGGCAGCTGCGGACACCAGCCCAGACAGGGAGGTTGTGCCAGGGCAGAGACCCTGCCGCTGCACTTTCCCCGTGGTGGGGCTGCTCTAAGGGGTTAACCCTATGGGACGAACCCTTTGCCTCTGCCTTTCAGACTGCCAAAACCGGGGAGTTCAAGCAGTTTGACTACGGGGAGAAGAACCAGGAGAAGTACAACCAGGTAAGCAAGGGGTGCCTCTTGCCTGCGAGGATGAAGGGATGACTTGGTTGTGCTAAGAGAAGAGGATGAGATTGGCCGAGACCGGGACGAAGGTACCCTGTGCATCCTGCACCCACGAGTCTTGTAATTCCCTGGGTGTCGGGGGCCTCCATGAACACTCAACCATTCGGTCCCATTTTGGCCAGCTGGTGCCGACCCAACCTTTTGGGTTTTTGTCCGCCCCTGGTGGGACAAGTCCCGCGGGGATCTCGCAGGACACATTTGCCCCACGTCACATTTGTTCATGTTTCCAAAATGTATGTCCCAGGAGGCGAATGCCCTGGCACTTTCAGCAGCTCTGATGGCTAAAATCCAGCTGACACCTTTCTACTTCACCTTCCTTTGAATCACCGGATTATTTTTCTCCTCAGACTTCGCCGCCCTTTTACAGACTAGAAGACATGACGGTGCCGACCGCCGTGTGGAGCGGTGGGGAGGACTGGATTACCTCTCCTGCGGAGACCCAGCGCCTGCTCTCCCGCATCACCAACCTCGTTCATCACGAGCACTTCCCCGACTGGACCCACTGGGATCACATCTGGGGCCTGGACGCCCCTCAGCGCATGTACAGGCAGATGGTCGCTCTGATGGAGCAAGATCCATGAAGGGTCCACGTGCTGCCCCGGGATGGAGGAGCCGCCCGTTCCCACGCCCTGGGGATGACTGGCTTTTGTACCAGGATTGTCACCCTGCTCTCTCCTCCCTAGAAACATCTCCTGTCACCCTATTTCCCTCCCATTTAGGGAGCTAACACAGTCTTGTGATTTCTCTCTGCCTTCTGTGACTACAGAGTGCCCTGGTGTTTTACCCTCCCAGCTTCTTCCTGGTGCACGGTAATATTTCTTTCCCTTGTTTTTCAGAACTGTTGAAGCAATAAACTCCCATGCTAAAACCCAGTCTGACTCTTCCCTTGGTGGGCATCACCGAGGCGGTGCTGCAGGGCAGCCGTGCAGGACTTAGGGGCATCCCAGCTCTGGGCATTAGAAGCCCCTTCCCGTAGACCCGTCTCACATCTAGCCCTCTGGGACATTGCAAGGGGCAGGCAGGGCTCTTCCAACCTGCATCACGCCAACACATGCGGCTTTGCTCTTCCCTCTCTGCTGACAACCACATCCTTGCAGCGGCGTGGTCACGCATGATCATAGAATCACAGAATCATTAAGGTTGGAAAAGACCTCTA